GGCTGGGTTCTGGGTGATCGTAGGAACTGGGTGCTGTTGGACCGACTTGGTTGAAGGTAACCGTTACTGGTTTAGATGGAGTTTAAGGTCCATTTAGCATAGGTGGCTTAGCCTGAGAGAAAAGATTGGTTAATAATATTGTTGCTTACCTGTCTTCTGATTTGCGTTACCTGTCTGTATCTGGGGCATCCATAGTAATTAAGATGCCGTGTGGAGGTCTCCACATTTTGCACAGAATGTCTCCTAGCGTTGTTTCTGGCAGCAGTTGGTGACAGGACGTAGCTCACCACACCAGATGCATCTAGTTGCAGTTGTACAGGCTGTTTGGGTGTGCTCAAGCCGCTGGCAGTTGAAGCATTGCAGTGGCTTCGGTGGTAGGTTCTTAGCTGCTTGTACATTATGGTGAAGATACCATAGCGAGATGCCGTTTTCGAAGAGCTTGTCAGCTGCTTGGCGTCATGAAAGGTAATTATTTTTTGCTTTTCAGATTCAAAAGCATTACTATGGAGTCAGTCGAGAATTTTGCAAACACAACCAAACTTTTTAATTGAGCCATCTCCGGTTGGTTCAGGAGAATTTTTGGGACACTGTATATTTAGGTTGGTCTAATTTACATGTGGCATGGCCCTTATGATGAGTACAATTACATTGGTTATTTCATGGACAACGTTTCGAAGCTTCACCTCTTGCAATGCAAGACTGTACAAAAGGTTACTTGGCGAATGGAGGAAATTTCTTGCATATTTTTGGTCTTGCAGGATTTTCCAATCTGACAAGGAATGAGAGTTTATGAATCAACTCATCAAGCCTCTTTTTAATCATTGGAGAGGAAATGTCACTTTCATGAATGGATAGCCACTTCACTAACAATCACAATGGCTAATGAAGCGGGAACACAGAATAATTGAAAAGACGATCTCAGCAATGAAAGTAGAGAATAGAGAGAACCAATTGATGACCATCCGTGATCCTCTTGGCTGCGTATATTTCGTTTGTCTTTCATTATATTGTGGTTTGATTTTGTAGGTTATTTTAGTTTTATGTTTTGTTTTTCTGCTTTGTTTGTTTCTTTGTTTTAGAGAAGGAATGTATTTTACACAATACAAATTTTTCTAAGTGGCATATGAGTAGAAAAATCGTTCTGGTTATTAGTTTCTTCTCTTTTTGTTAACTTATATCATGTTGTATTATCGTTCCTTCCATTACAAAAATGGACATTTCAGACTAGAACTGGTAATACAATTTATAGTTAGAACTGCTTATTCAACTAGGGAGCAATTTAAGTGTCAAGTGCGCCAATATGTTAGAATTATTTAGAGACAAACCATCATAGGCCCGGCATGGCCAGGTGGTTAGGGCGCTCGAATCCCCGTCACACCAAACATGCTTGCCCTTTCAGCTGTGGGGGCGTTATAATGTGACGGTCAATCCCACTATTCGTGACCTGAAAAATAGTTGGAGGTGAGTAGTGATGTGATCAAAGTATATGGTTTCTAAATTATTATATTGGCCCCCGGTGGGTTAGCAGTAGGTTTACAGACTTACAACGAAAATTGACGGGGTTCGATTCCTCGCAGTGGATACGACAGATAGCCACATGTGGTTTTGCCCTAAAATACACACAGACACACTAAAAGTGCATTTTATGAAAATGATGATAAAGCAGTTTAATAACCTAATAAACAACAGTTTGTTTCTTTGTTTGTTTTTGAATTTCGCGCAAAGCTACACAAGGGCTATCTGCGCTAGCCATCCCTAATTTAGCAGTGTATTTTTGCTTTTCAGATTCAGAAGCATTACTATGGAGTCAGTCGAGAATTTTGCAAACACAACCAAACTTTTTAATTGACCCACCGCCAACTCTTGGGCTACTCTTTTGTTGGGATGGGGATTCGAACATGCGACCCGCAGATTGCGAGTCGATCGCCCTAACCACCTAGCCATGCCGGGCTAAACAACAGTAAATCATATATTCAAAGGAGGGTTCTTTTGAAAACAGAATGGAGAAAAAAAAAAGTGGTGTATTTCTGTTGAAGAATACATATAAATATTATTATTTAGAAATAAAACATTATCCGATAAAATGTGTAGTAAAAGCAATTACAATATAAAAAAGAAATTTCAATTGCCGATATACAACGAGTATATTAAGCTTACAAGATGAAGTCGTCAAAGTTACAGTAAGCGTGTTTACAAAAGTTTGTCTTTAAGCTGGGAAATTTGAACCAATTGAACAAATCTGTACAGGTAACTTTCGAATATTGTATGTATATGTATATATATATATACATTCCCCCCAGTGGCCCAGCGGCATGTCTGCGGACTTACAACGCTAGAAACCGGGTTTCGATACCCGTGGTGGGCAGAGCACAGATAGCCCATTCTATAGCTTTGTGCTTAACTTCAAACAATCAATTAATCAATCAATATATATATACATACCTATAATATGTGTATATTATATGTATAATAAAACACAAAATTTACATAGTCTTTCATAATAATTATTTCTATTGGTTTAGAACTTCGTCAGTTACTCTTCAGAGTAAGTTATTGTATAACTCTAAAATTTTTTTATAAACTTATACTGAAGATACATAAAAACTAAATAGTAATAACGATAAATACAAAATACACAATTGAACATATAAGTACTGTTACATCTCTGGTCGTTTGTTAATTTTTCGTATAATTTCTTTAGGATGAAACTTTTGCGATACAAGTCTTTTTTTAAATAAAACTAGTTTATTCTTCCTCAATTCAACTCTGTAATACACTTAATTTCCACAGTCGTTTAAACATACGCTATAATTCTCAACGAACGATTCACACACTTTACTTACATCACTACCGCGCTTCACTCAATTGTCCGTCTCTATAACTGTCTGTCTGCAATTCAAATTCCGATTAATTGTCTGGCGCACTTATATACAAGAATAGAGGGCACCTAGCAAATACTGGATTATTCGTG